GAGAAAGAATGAGAAAGAGAGAGAGAGAGAAAGAGAGAAAGAGAGAGAGAGAGAGAGAGAGAGAGAGAGAGAGCGAGCGAGAGAGAGAGAGAGATATAGAGAGATAGTTGTAGGCAGAGCAGACACCCGTGCATGTGTGCTAGCTACGGTGGTAGGGAGGGGAGTGTGTGTGCGTGTGCGTGTGCGTGTGCGTGTGCGTGTGCGTGTGCGTGTGCGTGCGTGCGTGCGTGTGTAAGGTAAGGTCGAGACCACGTGCGGTAACAGACGGACGAGCAGGTGCGACGAAACGCCACCTGCCGGCGCGTCCGCATTGAATGGCGCGGGCGCGTGGGGAACGGCTGACATGCGCACAGCAGCGGCGGCCCGTTATTGACCCCGCCGCCGCCGCTGCCGCTGCTGCCGCTGCTGCTGCTGGTACTACTACTGCATGCAGACGCTTGCTCTGTGTCGGCTGCTAGCACCTCAACCCTTTAGCTGCTGCGAGCGCGAGTGTGTGCGCGCCGCTCCCTCCCTCCCCGCGATCTCCCTCCGATGTGCAAGGTGACGGCTTCTTCATCCTCCTCATCCTCATCCTCCGGGCATCCCTCTGCCTCCGCGCGGAAATCGCATCACTACTACTACCATCGCCGTCACTACTACTGCCATCGTCACTACTACTGCCGCCGTCACTACTGCTACTGCTGCTGCTGCTGTTGTTGTGGTTGTGAGACTATGAAGGTGTGCGCGTGGCAGAAACTGAGACGCTGCGTGTGTTGTTGCAGCTGCGAGGGATGCAAGGGCTTCTTCAAGCGCACCGTACGCAAGGATCTGAAGTACTCGTGTCGCGAGGACCGCAACTGCATCATAGACAAGCGTCAGCGCAACCGCTGCCAGTACTGCCGATACCAGAAGTGTCTCGCGATGGGCATGAAAAGAGAAGGTAAGCGGACGGGCGGGTGAGGGTGAGGGGAGTGGTGGGGGAGGGGGAGGGGTGGGGGAGGTGGTAACATGGTTATAATTAACATGTATTATATTATATTATTTATATGTCAGCGAGGGTGCGAAGTGAGGGATGGGGTAACTTAGGGGTCGATGTCGAAAGCTATCCGTTATCTGCATATTATTTACTAAGGCTGACGTTGGCTAAGGTGACATTATTTTACTGGCTAATATCACGCTATTTCACTGGCTAAAGTCGCACTATTTCATTGACTAATGTCACACTATTTTATGTATTAAAGTCACACTATTTCATGTAATAATGTCACACTATTTCATTGACGAATGTCACACTATTTTATGTAATAATGTCACACTATTTCATGTAATAATGTCACACTATTTCATTGACGAATGTCACACTATTTTATGTAATAATGTCACACTATTTCATGTAATAATGTCACACTATTTCACCGGCTAAGCTCTCACCTCTATGGTAGACGGGAGGTGTTTATAGCGGTACTACTGAGTTAGCAGCCTCGTTCTCTACGTCACGGGTTATCAGTAGTAGAACAAATGTCTAACATCGGTGGATCTAAATCTAAATATAATAAATAATAACATTTATATAATATAATAAATCGGTGGATCTAAATCTAAATGGGAAGCGCGAACGTGCGCAATTAGATTTATTTTAGTCGGCTATTTTCTCGGCTTCGTTTCCAGTCTCAGCACTCGCATGCAGAGAGAGATGATCATTTCTCTATTCTAGCCTTTATAGTTGATTGTTTCAACGTCTTATAACAAACTTTGATGATCATTCTCTATTCTAACCTTTGTAGTTGATTGTTCAACGTCTTATACACAAGGTTTTAGCATCATTCTCTATTTCTAACCTTATAGTTTGATGGTTCAACGTCTTATAACAACTTGATGCATCATTTCTTATTCTAACCTTTATAGTGCCAGTGTTTCAACGTCTTATAACAAGCTTTGATGATCATTTCTCTATTCTAACCTTTATAGTTGAGTGTTCAACGTCTTATAACAAGCTTTGATGATCATTTCTCTATTCTAACGCGTAGATTTTGTAGTTCTGTGTTCATCGTCTTAGGCCACGGTGCGTTGTCCTCCACCCTAACGTGTTCTGAGTTACTAATAATCATCGGTTTACTACTAGTCCTTTACATCTCCCTCCTGATATACTGCGTTCTGTTCGGTGTGTGTCTCTCTCTCTCTCTCTCTCTCTCTCTCTCTCTCTCTCTCTCTCTCTCTCTCTTCTCTTCTCTCTCTCTCTCTGCTCTCTCTGTACTCTGGTCTCTGTCTTCTGTCTCTGTCTCTGTCTCTGTCTTGGTCTCTGTCTCTGTCTCTCTCTCTCTCTTTCTCTCTCTCTCTCTCTCTCTCTCTCGTCTCTCTCTCTCTCTCTCTCTTCGCTCTCGCTCTCGCTCTCTCTCTCTGTCCTCTCTCTCTATCTCTCACGCTCTCCGTCTCTCTCTCTCTGTTCTATCTCTCTCCTCTCTCTCGTCTCTCTCTCTCTCTCTCTCTCTCTCTCTCTCTTCTCTGTCTATCTCTCGCTCGCTCTCTCGCGTCTCAGCGTGAGCGTGTAACATGTTACATAGACTTTCCCCCGTAACGTTGTCTATCTAGATTCTAGTCTTTATATCTTTATATTACGGATATATTACCGCAGCCGTTTTGTTTTTGGAAAGGAAAAAAAAGTTTCGCGAAATATGACGGCAAATTCATTCCGTAAAAACAACAGCTGATCACGAGACAGCAGAATTCTGAACAGCGCGGTTCGGCGCGATGTATTTTTTTTAATTTGTGCGCTAATCATTTTTAATGGTAAAATAATATTTTTATTTAACTTAATTGTTACGGTATACCGGTTAATGTTACGGATAGGGTAATGGTTTACGCGGTGGGGCCGCCCCGGCGGGCGGCCGCCGCCGCGCCTGCCAGCGTTGCGAAGCATAAGGAATACCACGCATAAGGAACATTCATTCAAATGATCACTTGGCCCGCTGACAGCTGTGCGCGCGGCCGCGCGCGTGTGTGTTGGTGTGTGTGTGTGTGTGCTCGCGCGCGCGTGTGTGTGTGTGTGTGTGTGTGTGCGCGCGTGGGGTGGTGCGCGCGTGTGTGTGTGGTGTTGCGTGTGCGCAGTCGCGCGTGGCGTTGTGCGCGTGTGAGCGCACCCACCACACGGCACGCACGCACGCGCACACGCACACACGCGGCACACTACAACACACACACACGCGCACACACACGCGCACGCACACATACACACGGCGCGCCCGGGCGCACACACATTACCACGGCGCGCCATACACTCGCGCGCGGGCGCCACACACACCACACACACACACACGCACACCGCAACCACCCCAAGCACACACACACCACCAACACACACACACACAACACACACACACACGCAACACATACACAACACGCCACAATCCCCAGAACAGCTACGTCCGGGATCTACGCGCAATTATAGCAAAGATGCCGGAAATATGAAAAAAACACCACTTTCGTCCCTTCGGTCTCCTCGCTTCGTGAATCCACGCCCGGTTAGTAGTTACAAATGTATCATTTTTTTGTCGTTAAATCCAATCATATCTCGGAATATCGTTTTACAAATAAAGTGCACGGTTCGTGGGTGTGCGGTGTGCTGGCGCGCGCGCGTGCGTGTGTGTTGTGTGTATGGTGTGTGCCGTGCGTGCGTGCGTGCGCGCGCGTGGTGGTGTGCGTGCGGTATGTGTGTGTGTGTGCGTGCGTGGCTGTGTGTGTGTGTTGTGTGATGTGTGTGTGTGTGTGTGCGTGTGTTGTGTGCGTGCGTGCGTGCGTGCGCGCGGCGTGTTGTGGGCGTGCTATGTGTGTGTGTGTGTGTGATGTGCGTGCGTGTGTGTGTGTGTGTGTGTGTGTGTGGTGTGTTGTGTGTGTGTGTGTGCGTGCGTGCGTGCGTGCGCGCGCGTGATTTGTGTGCGTGCGTATGTGTGTGTGTTGTGTGTGTAGTCGTGCGTGCGTGTGTGTGTGTGTGGTGTCGTGTGCCGTGGTTGGTGGTGTGCGCGTGTGCGTTTGGTGTGTGTGTGTGTGTGTGCTGTGCGCGCGTGCGTGTGTGTGTTGTGTGTGTGTGCGTGGTGTGTGCGCGCCGTGTTGTGTGTGTGTGTGTGCGTGTGTGTGTGTGTGTGTGTGGTGTGTGTGTGCGTGCGTGTGTGTTGCGCGCGCGTGTGTGTGTGTTGTGTGGGTGTGTGTGTGTGGTGATGTGTGTGCGTTCGCGTGTGTGTGTTAGTTACGCGGATGGGAACAATTGCGTTTGTAGTCTCGTTCTGATCGTCGTGTAGACGCCTCTCCCCCCCTCCTTGCATCTCCTCTCCCCCTCCTCCCCTCCCACACGACCTCCCTCTCCTTCATCACTCCCCCATTCCTCACTCCTCCCTCCCCCCCTCCTGATCCCTCTCCCCTCCCTCCCCTCTGCATCCTCTCCCCTCCCTCCCCTTCCCACACCCCTCCCTTCCTTCCATCACTCCCATTTCCTCCATCCCTTCCCCCCCCCCTCCTGCCATCCCTCTTCTCCCTCCTCACCCCTCCTGATCGCCTCTCCCCCTCCTCCCCTCATCCACACCTCCCCTCTCCTTCCATCATCCCATTCTCCTCCACTCCCTCCCTCTCTCCTTTGCAATCTCTCCCTCCTCCCTCTCCTCCCAACCTCTCGCCCTCCACACCCCTCCCGCCTCTCCTTCCACTCACTCCCCATCTTCCACTCCCTCCCTCCCTCCCTCCCTCTAGTCTTTCCCTCCCCGCTCGCTCTCACTGCTGTTTCACTCCTCTCACCGCACTATCTCCTGCTCCCTTCCACCCCTCCCCCTCTCCTCCCTTCCTTTCCCCCCCGCCGTGCCCTTCCTCCCCCCTCCTCCTCCCCTTCCTACCCCTTCCTCTATCTCGTCGCCGTTCTCCTTTTAACATTTCATCGCGGAATCAAGCGGCAAAACCCGGGAAGAACCAGGCGCGAAAAATCCCCGGAAAAAAATGAGTAGCACAGTGAGTGGAGCTAGGTTAGTTGTGTGTGTTGGTGGTGGGGCATCCACGCGAGCGTGTGCGTGCTGGTACGTGTGTATATGTTTTTTTCCACTCGGCGCGTGCGTGTATGTGTGTAGGTTTTTTTTCGCGCGTGGCGTGCGTGTGTGTAGGTGCGGGCTCGGTGGTGTAAGCTGAACCCGGCGATCGTGCTCGGAACAGTTAAACCGAACGCGCTCGGATGCGATTGGGGTTTTTTTTTTTATTGGAGAGAGAGAGAAGGTGGGTGGGGGGGGGTATGGATACACGTACGTACGTGCGGGTAGGGCACGGGGTTAGGGTGCGCGTGTATAAATCAATGTGCTCTGTTCGCTTACAGTCACCTTTTGAACGAAGTCCGTTTTAAAAACAATCGGCTAAGAAATAGCGCATCATTTCTCTACCGCCGACGCTCGCTGTTGCTGTGCTGCTGCTGCTGCTTGCTGACTGTGCCTCTTTTTTGTGGGGTTGGCCTCTGATGCTGCCTTGATTTGTGTGAGTTTGGTTGTGATAGCTGTTGCTGCTGTTGATTTGGTTGTGGCTTACTGTTTGTCTACCTTTTTAGAAAGGTCCTGTTCCGATCTTATCTGGTTTTACTATTCATCGTGACTCGAGCAGAAATTGCCCACACGTCGCCATCCCACAGCCAACTATATATATAGATGGACGAGCTAAACAATACACATAGAACTTTCTCTAGTCATCTCTTTAATCCGGATACGCTTTAAGATCCTCTGTTGCTGATCTTCTTGCTTCTGTATGTGATTATAACGGATACTTCACGTGTATAGATAGGTTCGCGCGAGCGCGTAAACTCTCCGCGACCTTTTCGAGCGATAATCCAATTTTATTTTTTTATTTTGCGCGCAAGCGCTCAGCACCGGCGCCGAGGGAAATTTTAGAACGCGGTGAGGAAGGAGGGTGCGGAAGAGGAAGGAGGGAAGGAGGGGAGGAGGAGGGATGGGAGGAGGGCAGGAGGAGACGAGCAGCGGCTCCTCCCCTAATATCCCTCTCCTCCCCTCCACTCCCTCCCTCCCTCCCCTCACCCTCCTCCCCTTCCATCTCCTCCCCTCCCCTCCCACTACCCCGGGTGGATAATTTCATAGGTCCGTGCGAGATACGGACAATCGCTTTATAGCAGTGAACGAAGTTTAAAGCGCGCGGCGGCCGGCGGCAGGCTGTTGTGTGTGAGGGGGGGGCGGGAGTTGACGGGAAGCGGATGTCTCGCACCCCAGCCCACACCTGCCCGTCCTGTGAATGAGTTGACGCAGGTGGCCAAGGGGAGGGAGGAAGAGGGGTCAGGTTCAGGTCAGCTGTACAGCTAAAACGCACACCGCCGTCGGGCAGCGGAGGGGGAGGTGGGGGAGGGGGGGCCGTAAAATTTAAATCGTAAAATCATCGTTCTAGTTATACCGTAGCGGCCGGGCTGTACTTCAAACGGCCGCGCGCCGCCGCCGCCGCCGCCGCGCCGCCGCGGATGCAGACCGTGCGGGAGGCGGCGATGCTAGGAGGCTGTGCATGCAGACGGGAGGCTGCGGAATATTTAATGCAGGGACGCGATCGCGTGCGTTGTGCGTGATTAGCCCAGAATTATTTTGATTTTTTGCTCGATGCGTGCGTGCCTACGTTAGTGGCGTACGTGCTGTGGCGTGCGCGTGCGGGGTGTGGAGGGCCACTGGAGCGTCTATAGCCGCGCTTTCTGCCCCGCCTCTAGCAATATGACGCGCGTGTATGTGTTGTGATGTGCGGTGTGTGCGTGTGCGTGTGCGCTGTTTTGCGTGTGTTGTGCATGTGTGTGCGCGGTGCGTGTTGCCCATGTGCGTAGCGTGCGTGCGGCCATGCATGCCATACCATTGCAAGGGCGGGGCCCGTCCCTCCCCTCTCCGTTCCCTCCCCTCTCCGTCCCTCCCTCTCACTCCCTCCCCCCCGCCTGCCGCCGCTCCGTGGGAAGAAAAGCCACGATAGCTTTCTCGTGCCACGAGCAGTTCCTCTTGTTCCGCGTCGAGACGGTTAACACCTGCGGATGTTCCCGGTTGTTCGACGATGTTCGCGGGACGTTTCGATGAGCGGTTCTCAAGTGTGTGTTTTCTCCTTCTATCTTCAGCGCTGCAGAAAGAAGAGACCAGCAAGTGAGGACCAGACAAAGGTAGGGGCCTTCAACAGCAGGGCGCGGGGCTTCGCGTTTACGAAATCTGGATATCAAAATGAACTGTTCTCTATGTCTCGCCACTCAGACACGCGCCCCTGGCAGCAGCCGTCGCCGCGCCAACAAATTTTCAGGGGACGACGCAATCTTGCGGTTGTCTTACACGTGGGCGGGGGGCGGGGCGGGAGAATGCGGGCGGCCTCTACGGTCCGCTTCGCAGCAGGTGGCGGGGCAGGGGGGCGGGGGTAACAAGGACGTTCGTCATCCCCATCTCCACACAATCGGCTGCAGTGCATATCTTGGTCATTTGATATTCGCTGTGTAAAGCCGCTACCTGTCTAGACATCGCGCCTCTTGGTTTGTGGAGAATAGAGGGGACTCACCCACCCCCCTGTGTTTGGAGTGGGTGCGGTGGTGGGGTGGCGGAGGGCGCGTGTTCCCGTCCTAGTCACTGGCTCCCGCGATAGGGCGGGGTGACGCGAGGCGGTCTGTCACGTGTTTCTTGGTGAATGACCGAGGCGCAGGTGACACGACATTTGTGTCACAAACTCGTGTCGTGACTCCTGTTGTGACACCGTGTCATATGACTCTGTGTCATGCTCATGTTCTGACCCCGTGTCGGACCTGCGTGTTGTGGACTTCGTGTCGTGACCCCATATCGTGACCTGTTGTGACCCGTGTCATTGACCTCAGTGTTCGTGACCTCGTGGTGCTGACCTCGTGTTGTGACCTCGTGTTGGACCCCGTATATGTGGACCTCGTGTCCCCCCCCCTGACCTCGATGTTGTGACTGTGGTCGTGACCTCGTGTGTGGACCTCGTGTCGTGACCCGTTTGTGACTCGTGTCGCTGGACCCCATATCGTGACCTCTATGCGTGACCTGTATCGTGACCCCGTATCGTGACTCGTGTTGTCCCGTGTCACTGAACCTCATGTTGTGACCTTCGTGTTGTGACCCCGTGTCGTGCCTTGTGTCATTTACCTCACGTTGTGACTTGTGTTGTGGACCTTCACGTCGTTAACCCCGCATCGCCCCAACATCGTGGCGGCCACCTCGCCCCCCCCCACACGTGGCGCCCACCTCCGCCCCCCAAGCGTGGTGCCCTCGCCCCCCTCCCCATGCGTCGTCGCGGCCATGCTCGCGTGTGTTTCACCGTCGCTCGTCTGTTCTCTCCGCATTGCAGCCGTGCTGGAGGGAGCGACAGCGCGTGAGGAGAAGAACAGAGAACGAGGTGGAAGAGCACGACGAACCCGAACTCGAGATGCCATCGAGGCAGATCCTCGAGCCGAGCTGGAGTGGTCGCCACCGGTACGGAGACGTACATCGGACGAGCAGGTTGAGCACGCGCGCTCTGGCGGCGGCTTTTTTTTTTTTTACGCGTTTGTGTTGGTGTGTGGGTTGAGTGCGGCCTCTGTGCGTAGCTTATTGCTGATCCCACGTTGCATGCGGTGGGCTGTGAACCGCCGACTTCTGACCGTCTCGTTGCGCAGATGCCATTAGCTAAACTTGAAGCCATCTGGTAACTCTCTCTCTCTCTCTGCTCTCTCTCTCACTCTCTTCTCTCTCTCTCTCTCTCTTCTCTCTTCCCACCTCTCCCTTTTTTCATTTCCTCCTCCTTCCTACTCCGTCTCTCTCTCCCCTCTCGTCTCTCCCCCTCTCTTCCCTCCCTCTCGCCCCCCTCTCCTTTTTCTCTCTTGATGATGCTGAAATGGCATGGGAATCTCGGATGAACGTGTTACAGAGGAGAGGTGATGTTCTTCAGGAGGAGGTGCCACACGATCGCACGCGTTCGGCGTCGCGGCCAACTCATTGCTGTGTGGCTAATGAAGGAGAAACTACGCGCGCGCGCAGAGGAGCTGCGTGGGGAAGGGGCCGCGCGCGCAGAGGGAGCTGCGTGGGAGGCGTCGTGCGCCGCAGAGAGCGGCGTGGAGGGGGTGCGCTGCCGCCAGAGGAAAGCTTGGCTGGCGGGAGGGGTGTGCGCCACAGAGGAAGCCGCGCGCGGAGGGGTCGTGCCGCCGCGCACAGAGGAAAGCTGCGTGGGGAGGGGTGCGCGCACAGAGAAGCTGCGTGGGAGGGGCGCCACAGAGGAAGCCCCGCGCGTGGGGAGGGGTGCGCGGCACAGGGAACGCTGCGGGGCGAGGGGCGTGCGCGGACAGAGGAAGCTGCGTGGCGGGCGTGCGCGCGCACGAGGAAGCTGCGTGGCGGAGGGCGGTGCGCGCACAGCAGGAAGCTCGCGTGGGGAGGGGTGCGCGCACACAGAGGAGCTGCGCGGCGGGAGGGGTGGCGCGCGAGAGGAGCTGCGTTGGGAGGGGGTGCGGCGCGCACAGAGGAAGCTGCGTGCGGGAGGGGGTGTGCGCACACAGAGGAAGGCCGCGCGGGGAGGGGGTGCTGCGCGACACAGAGGAGTGCGTGGGGAGGGATGCGTGTGCACAGAGGAGACGGCGTGGGGAGGCGNGTGTGTGTGTGTGTGTCGTGTGTGTGTGTGTGTGTCGTGTGTGTGTGTGTGTGTGTGTGTGTGTGTGTGTGTGTGTGTGTGTGTGTGTATGCATGTGTGTTCGCGTGCGTGTGCGTGTGCGTGCGTGCGCTTGCATGCATACCATTGCAAGGGAGGGGCCCGTCCCTCCCCTCTCCGTCCCTCCCCTCTCCGTCCCTCCCCCCCGCCTGCCGCCTCCCGTGGAAGAAAGCCACGAAGCTTCCCTCGCTGCCTCCGAGCAGTTCCTCGTTGTTCCGCGTCGAGACGGAACACTGCGGATGTTCCCGGTTGTTCGACGATGTTCGCGGGACGTTCAATGAGTGGTTCTCAAGTGTGTGTTCTTCTCCTCTCTATCTTCAGCGCTGCAAGAAGAGAGACAGCAAGTGAAGGGACCAGACAAAGGTAGGGGCCTTCAACAGCAGCGCTTACGCTTTACGAAATCTGGAATATCAAATGAACTGTTCTCTTGTCTCGCACTCAGACCACGGCGCCCCCTGGCAGCAGCCGTCGCCCGCCACACCCAAAATTTTCGGGGACGACGCAATCTTGCGGTGGTCTTACACGTGGGCGGGGGGCGGGGCGGAGAATGCGGGGGCCTCTACGGTCCGTGTCGCAGCGGTGGGCGGGGCAGAGGGGCGGGGGTGAAAAGGACGTCGTCATCCCATCTCCACACCAACTGGCTGCAGTGCATATTTGGTCATTTGATATTCCGCTGTTAAAGGCCGCTACCTGTCTAGAACATGCGCCTCTTGGTTGTGGAGAATAGAGGGGACTCACCCACCCCCCCTGTGTGGGTGGGTGGGTGGTGGGGTGGGCGGAGGGGGCGCGTGTTCCCGTCCTAGTCACGGCTCCCGCGACGCGGCGGGGCGGGGTGACGCGAGCGGTCTGTCACGTGTTTCTGGTGAACGACACGAGGCACAGGTGACACGACATTGTGTCACAAACCCGTGTCGTGACCCCGTGTCGTGACCGCGTGTCGTGACCGCGTGTCGTGACCTCATGTTGTGACCTCATGTTGTGACCCCCGTATCGTGACCTCGTGTTGTGACCCCGTATCGTGACCTCGTATCGTGACCCCGTATCGTGACCTCGTGTTGTGACCCCGTGTCATGACCTCATGTTGTGACCTTGTGTTGTGACCCCGTGTCGTGACCTTGTGTTGTGACCTCACGTCGTGACCCCGCGTCGTAACCCCGCATCGCCCCATGCGTGGCGCCCCCTCGCCCCCCACACATGGTGCCCCCTCGCCCCCCACACATGGTGC